TAGGGAAAACCTGACATTCTTAAAAATAAACACTGAGTCAAGAAAATACATACCCTTTACAGCCAAGCAATTTAGGAACTACAGGGAAACAGGAACTGGCAAAAAGAGATGTTTGACACTTTTTAGGCATATTGTCAAGTCTCTCTACTTTCAGAATACGGCTTTATCTTATCTGCATTGCCTCATGGTTTAGGGTCACATGAAGTACATCACCTGCTGTTTGTTCTGATCCCCACTCTTAAAAGCTTAACTTGAGATCTGCTAGTTTTTGTTTGGAAAGAAACAGTAAACAATCATTTTGTACTCACTTTCTCCACAATGTTCAGGACTTCATAGACTTCTCCCTACCTCACTTTCCCTTAATTCTTTTCAGAGTTCAAGAACTCTTGCCATTCTTTGCATAGAAGTAATTTTTAATTATGCCTAATTATTCCCCATTTCACTTATTTGTACCTTTTCCAGTTTTGTAACACCCTTTTTGACAGTCACACAAAACAAGACAGAAACGAGGGTCACACACAGAGCAAATTAAGACAGAAAAATGTAATTTTTTTCTGCTTACCTGTTTTTTTCCATGTGCTTTTCTTTGACCATTAGAGAGTACTGAGCTAATGTACTCACCTAACTATTATAACTGCAAAATCTTGTTCTTGAGATTAAGCAGCTATTTCAGTGCTTTATAGCCTTTTGACTATAAAGTAAGGCTAATCAAGGCTAACAAAGACAAGGCTAACACCCCATACCTCAAGATGGGCACAGCTCTTCACTTTGCAAGGAACTGATGGTGCATGGAATTATCTATGAGTTCATGCAAAATTATGCCCTTTGGTGTTTTTTTTTTAGGTTAATAAAAATGTCTTTTTGTGTGCATGCACACATGAGTATTAAGGCGGTGTTGCTGGTACAGAGAGCTGTTCCCAGCGAACACCAGGGTCAATATTTATTAGGCATTTCAGAATGCACCTTAAGAAAACAAACCATCTGAAGCTCACTCTTAGGTACAATAAGCACAACTCAAGGTGAACAACTGGAAGACACAAAGAAAAACAACGCTGTACATAGATCTGTCTCATATGACTCCTTTGTAACTGGCATAATAGGTGGCAGGATCCCCGATTGCTGCTTTGGTCACAAGCGCAGTAGCAGCAACTGGAAACTCTTCAATATGTAATCTAAGGTTTCCACATTTTATAACTATATTATTTTGGTGGACTTTAAATGAGTTATGGTGCACATCAATCTAGAAATGTGAAAGGACAGATCAACAACACAAGGAGGAAGCCATTATCTTCTGATCTACTACTGGCATCCCCACCCCAAACAAACAAAAATCTTGATTCTGAACCGTAGAATTTGTGACCTTTCTTGCCTATCCCTACATTCAGTACCTGTTCTTCCCAACCCCACAGTAGCCAAGATCAGGGAAAGTGTGGATGGAAGACAGTATTATCTGATGGGTGATCAACAACTGATTGAAAACAGACACAAACTGTTGTCTGAGTATACTGAAAGACATGTCTCTTTATAGACCACTGCAGACTTCCCTGTTTGATTAGGACAAAAAACTGCATGGGAGGATCAAGACCTTGGTATTATCGGTACCAAGTTCTACTCAACACACTGTTAAACTACTACTTGATGGACCACGGTCTTGTCCTAGTAGGTAATTTCTTAGGATAGTTGCTCTTCCCAAAAGGTCATTATCATCTAAGATAGCCAAGATCCTTAGCCTAAACTACAAATCTGTATAAACCCTCTCCTTCAAGACAAGAGCTTTCGTATTAAAATAATGAAATTAAAATATTTGAGTCCAGCAAAATTGATGAGAGGGGACAAAAATACAAATAATTCTTCCAAGCGATCCAGTGCTTCTCCCCATGTAGGGATTTTTGTCCCCACTTAAACCCTGGGACAAAATTTCCAAAATAACTCTGTAACCACCAAAAGTTTAGTTTCCTTTAAGGAAAATGTAACAATATTCAAGAAGTAGCAAGAAGCAGTATTATGAGAAGAATCAATAATTAAGAAGTGGTGACAAGCAGTATAGTAAGAAGTCACCATTTGCAAGTGAAAGCATTTTCTTTTAAACTTCGAAATTCCAATGGACTTGGAATTGCAAAATCCTCTACCATAAGGAAAGCCTTGGAAATTATTTTTATTAGTTGACAACCCATACCTAATTCTTAAGAAAAATACATACCTAATGCAAAAATCATGAAAACACAGCAACTGCAATGCCTTCGTGACTCGTATCTATTTGACCTCATGTACTGAGCAACAAAACAAATGCCTACTCTGACTCCACCCCATGCTCGCCCATTGTCTGGAGGATAACTTCAAAAGATGCAGGTACACTAACCTCCCAAATTTTATTTTCTTTAAGTTGTCGACACTCCTTTATTTACAACAGTGCCTCACATTTCAAAATCCTGTCCCACAGACCCTGCCATTCTAAGCAAGCAAAGCTGGGGCCATTCCAAATTCCAGAAGACATATTTTGAGGTATGAGGGAGACTAGGAAATAGTATGAAAGAACTATGATAATAACACCAGAGTTGTCAGCTGCATATTCCAAAGAGAATACAGAAAGACAGAAAGTCCCTCCCCTCTACTCTGGAATATCTTCAAAACCCTTGTAGCTGCATTAAAAAAAATGAACACAGGAGGGACTGGAAACAGGCAAAAATAATCAAATCTTCCTTTTCAAAGCATAAAACCAAGCTGGAAATCTACATTGAGGTAATCTACAAATTCACTAAGGGCTATCAGAAGGCATGTGTATTCCAAAAAATTCATGACTTCTAAAAGAATTTAAAAAGTAATTTTAAGGTACTTATGTCCTACAGTACAGTCAGAACAACCAAGCAGAAACTTGTTTTTTTCTAAAAAATCATTTCATTATCACAAAAAGCATAGATTTTGAATGCCTCTGTTTTACCAGATAACGGTAGGCAAACCACATGGGCCTCTACAAAAGCCTTCAGTTCTTGAGAGACAGTAATTTCCCCTGGAAAAAGAAACCCATGACATTAGCTGAACATTCCAGACATATAATTCTCTGCTAGTTACTGGCTCAGCCCTAAAAGTAAATCCACGCTGGCTACTCAGAGATAAAAAGAAAAGGTCAAACACTGAGGATGAGGAATTCTTGTGCCAAATGCAGCACGGCAGTAGTACTAATATAGAGACAACTATTATTTCCTGTGCAACTTTACTGGTGTGCACTGTACACATAAGGATAAAAGTGACGAACACAAAAATGTTTATTTTACTTACACTTTAAATTTATACTATAATATGATTTACCTGAGCAGTAGTCAAGCGCTAAAGCAGGAATTTCTCAAATCATCTCAGATTTTTCAGATTTTAACTGCTGTCTTAGTCTCCACCCAAAATCCCAATCATAGCTGATGAGGATTTTTGCACAAGCATTACCATCATCTTTCTAACAACAGACTTCAATCCTTTACACAAGCACTGCAGAGAGAAAGAATCATGTTCTCTGCCTCTAGACGACCACATGCCTTCAGCTAGAAACATGGATTTTTCATCAGGCATATGATGTATATTACAGATAACCAGTATTTCACTTTCTATCAACAAGCAGCTTTAGCCATCAAATTATTTTGGAATGCCAGCTGTGCACTGCAACATGAAGCCCTGCCGTTTAGGAAGAAAAAACACCTTCTCATACTGTGTACGCTGCCAAACATACCACACAGGTTAGCTAGTGACATTGGTTTTACTCTCCAGACATATGTAGTTAGCGTAATTTAGCCCCTGCGAGTTCCACCTCCCCCTGCTTTTTGACTTGCTTTTCTACGTTACCACAGTTTTCAAATGCAGATGACTTGTTTCTATGTGGCAGGATATAAAACTTATTTTCTGGATTGAACCCGTCTCTTATGGTTTGAGAGTTTGCAGATATACTATGTATTTTAAAAATACATGCTTTCAAAATTTCTTGTACCCACCACTGCTTGTCATAACCATAAGCAGTGAGCCATTATGGTAGAGAGCTACATAAACAAACAAGCAAAGACAGTGCCGACCCTGCAAACTTTACAACTGCATAGAAATCGTGGGAGCAGAAGGCATTAAGGCAATATTCAAGCAACAGGATAGCCAAACTATGATGATTCGTTTAAGGATTTGAGTTTTTTTTTTAACTGCAACCTAGTCATCCGTAGTTGTGTGATTTTTTTTTTTTTTTTTAGGCCTTGCAGGAGAAACAAACATCCCTGTGACAGCAATTTTTCTTAGTCCTCTGCAGTGATATTTAACCCTGATGCACATGTTTCTTTCCCAAAACATTTTTCTCAATGTGGCTTCTTTTTTTT